AAAAAAAAAAAAAAAGTCAAAACATAGTAGAACTTCTGTAAGCTGACCACCCAAGGGACTGTAACACACTGTCAACATAAGGGACTAGGCGTTCTGTGTGACACAGACATGTGCATGTCCTGTCTATGACAATCAGGTCAACTTGAGGTGGTCAGTCTCACTCTGTAGCCCTCGGTAAAGTGCCAGGGCATCACAGCCACCTCCAACTCTTGGGCTCAAGCGGTTCTCCTGCTTCAGCCTCCGGAGCAGCTGGGACTACAGGCACCTGCCACAACGCCCGGCTATTTTTGTTGCAGTTGCCACTGCTGTTTTTCAGCTGGCCTGGGCCGGGTTCGAACCCAGCACCCTCAGTATATGGGGTAGTGCCCATTGGGCCACAGGTACCACCCAGTTCTAATGTATTTTTTAAGCTTTATTTTGGTTCTTAATTTCACCATGTAACTAACAGTTTAAGGTATATTGGAGCTTTTTTTTTTTAAAGTAAAACTTCTATCACAGTCATTTAATACATATGGGTTTTTGTTTTGAGACAGTCTCACTTTGTTGCCCTTGGTAGAGTGCTGTGGTATCACAGCTCACAGCAACCTCCAACTCTTGAGCTCAAACAATCCTCTTGCCTCAGCCTCCTCAGTAGCTCTGACTACAGGCGCCTGCCACAATGCTCGGCTGGTTTTTAGAGGCAGGTCTCACTCTTGCACAGGCTGGTCTAGAACTCCTGAGCTCTGGAGAGTAGCTGGGACTACACGTGCCTACCCGCCACAACACCCAGCTATTTTTAGAGACGGGGTCTCTTGCTCAGGCTGGTGTCCTGAAGTCCTGAGGTCCTGCAATCCACCCGCTTTGGCCTCCCAGAGTGCTGGGATTACAGGTGTGAGCCACAGGGGCCCAGCCTTACTTTTTATCTTGTAATTAGAGATCACAGCAAGACGTTTCCAAAGTTAAGATTGTCCTCTGTGACCATGACCCAGGTCCCCCCAGTGATAACACCTTACGTAATTTATCAAAACCAGGACGTTACCTGGCACAGTATTAACATAGTATCTTAGTTGGAAGTAGTTACCATCAAGCTGAATGTAGGTTCTACTTTTTAAAACTAATTTAGAAATTAATTTTGGTCTTCTGTTAGGCATTTTGTAAAAAGCTAATAAAACTTTATACCTTGTCATGTAACTATACATGATGGTGACTATAATTGAAAGGATAAAGTTGATGTGTGTTAACTCTGATCTGCCAAGCTTTCCTGCGACGTTAATTTGCACGGCTCCAGTACAGACACTACTTGAACTTAGAGTCTAAGTCAGGAATGGTTTTTCTTCTAAAGGCCTCCAGATATCCACAGCCTTGAGGTTCCAACTTTTTAAATCTGAATTGTGTAATAAGCCAGGAAGCCAGATGTGAATTTCTAATTCAGTACTAAAGCTCTGAGAGATTCTTATCCTTAAGAAAATGAGTTTCATTCAAACTAAAATACACTCATGCCTGTTTTCTTCACAGGCTAGATCAACTGACAGTGGTTCTGGCCCTTTTCCTCTCTGAATGTGAATTGTACAACCTTTAAGAGAACCATCTTGGGTTATATTTGGGGAAAGGAGGGGTGAGTGTAGTTGGGTGGAAGGTGAGAACCATTTGTCCCGACTCCACTGGCTTTGCCTCCCGCTCTTTGTAACTACATGGACCAGTATGATTTAGTCATGTCTGATGTAACCTGATGGCTGTGGGGTGTGAAGTGTGCTCTTCACTTGCCTGTGTGGCCCGTCACTGCGCTCACACCTGAGTCCCTGCAAACCTGTTACTGAGCAGGTTTAGATAGCAAGCAGGGAGAGGCCAGCTTGTCTGCCCGATTTCAGAGTCCTATGCCTGAGGACATTCACACCACAGGGGCTCTGCGATGATCCCTCTTCCTCCAGTGTCCCTCAGCCACATGGCCGCAGGTGGGGTTTGGGTATGGGAAGGTGCCCTTGGAAGGGATGGCAGGGTCCGCTCCAAGTACTAGTTTGCACTGTGTTAGAGACTGGCCGTCGGGCTGTGGGCCTGCCATTTCTCTCCTCCATGACCCCAGAAAACCACCAGGAAGCTCACACCAGTAACCCTATGGCAAGTTCACTAAAACAACATACCTACAAATCTGCTTTTCTCCCCTCTCACTTTTTTTTTT